CCAGTAATTCCTTGTGTTATACACCATCGTCAGAACCCTTTAGCATTTACTCGTGGATACGTACTTCACTAATTTCAATTATATTTAAAATTTAATTTCTGACGTTTCTTTGATAATGTTACCAAAAACGCACTAGGTTGCCATCAAAGTTTACCCTTCTTGTTTTTTTTAATGAAACCCCACCAATTATTTGCTTAATGGCGGGAAGCATCAGTTTTAATTAGCTAATTTGAAAGGATTTTACACCACAAAGCGAAAAGTTCCTCAAATTCAGCAGATTGCATTATAATTCTCTTCCATTTCTAATAATCTTAGGTGGATAATTACTTTTACTGACAAAATGCTTTTACCCGGAGTATTAAACTCTTGTTTAAAATGATCATTATTTCTCTTTGTTTCTAGCCTTAAATATTTAAAATGCTTCTATGAAAATGCGTCCATTTCAAAAGGTTGATATCAAACGTTAGGTACTGTGCCACTTATGAATGTAACATTTAATAAAACACATATTCATATACATAAAAAAAAACTTTTATATCAGCATCATTCATATAATTTGTAATATTAAAATTAATGAGAACGTTTTCTCCCTTCAGTTACTTGTATTAAAAATCACTATGACTTACTGGTTAATATTGAATTCAAATATATTTAAGAGGTCTGTAACCATAACACAAAGGTTTCATGCTTTATAAATTGTACTTTTAATACAGAAAATTTAGAATTATAAATGAAACATAAAGTAAATTTTAGTACAATGACGCAAGCATTAAAATGTAAGTTGGTAAGCGTGAGGTATTATTTCTTCTTACTTACCATGAAAGGAAGGTTACTTGCATTATTTTCAACAAAATATGCTCCCATGGTAAATCGTACTTAAAGATCATAAAAAGATTGATTTTTTTTAACGTACTAAACCCTATGTAGAGATACACATCTGTTTAACTTGAACCCACAATCATATTTTCAGGAAAAATTTGTACAGTATTCGTTATCCATAAGTAACTAAGACACGTAGAAGAAATAATTTTGTATCAGAATTATCTTGAATTATTATAATGTACATTTAATTTTATATATGTAATAAGAAAACATTTCAAATTAGATGAGAAAGTAAGGCTGGCACGTTTAATAGTGTATGACCCATAGATATGCAGTCAAATCGAAGAGCATAAACTTAATTTGAATAGAAATTCTTGACGTCATTTTAAACACGAACTTGGGCCTGTAATCTGAGAAGAAGGTATTTTTGTTAGTCAGTCTCATAAATTATACATGCGCTCCTACTGTAGTGAGTGAGTTATTTCCTTCCAATCTAATTTGCAAGCGTCTTCAGAGGGCACCACATTTCAGAGTCTGTGACTGGTTGAGATATATAGGCTGCAATATAATTTCACTGAGAATTGTTAGAAATAACCTATTTTTAAAATATTTGTGCCTGAATACATTCATTGGCTTATATATTTCGTTAAACTACCGTTGTATCCAGTTTTAAATTCTATACATATCTAAAATTGTCCTTTATTTCTTCAAATCTCTTCACAATTCTTACATTTCAACGTAGAAAACCAAAATATAGCTTGGTTCAATTTGATCCATTTTATGGAACTGCTAAAGAAACTATACATTCTGGCCCTGTTAAACTGGGATCATAGGCTTTTTCATTACGACAGATGTTGTACTGTAAGATATTAATAGTCTGTGTAGTGACGGAAAGTGATGTAAAGAGTTGATTCCTCGTGCAAAATTTTGGTGATTACATCCCTCGTTGATAAATATTCTGAACACATTGCATAAACCTAGTCTGTCAAAATTCCATTTTTTGTACACTGAATTTACTAATCTCTTCATAACATTTGACTTATTTTATTTATTTATTTATTTATTTATAAAATTCTCCTTCAACTCTTCATTTAAGCACTTTATAATTTATGCAAGTCTCTAAGTCTGTGGCGAAGCTGTGTTATCGTAGTATGGCGTAATTAAACTGCGGCATATACACTATATCAGATATTATTGGAGGATATTCTGAATTCTTTTTCTTTCGAAGACTTTTATTTTCATACATTATTGAATACACTTCGGGGTACAAGGTTCTGTAAAGTTTTATGCATTTATGTGAAGAAATATTTTCAGGGCTTCAGATGATTTTGGAATACTAAGAAGTAAACGGAAATCACCAGGAAAATAGACAGATCACCACAGATAACTGAGGGAAATAAAGGGTCTCTGTGTATTTTTGTTGAATCTCTTAACCGATGATATTTACTTTAGAGTCCTTTCAAAGCAGGTTGTCGAAGTTGTTTTTTTTTATATTTAGTGTTTTAATCAAATGCAAAATATTTCTAATTATTAGATCATAGGTATAACTTTGTAGTTGTTCTTGTTTTGTATTGTTCCAGTTGTTCAGGTTCTTAAAATCAGGTACATTTTTCATTTATTGCATACTGCGCCAGAAAGAAAATATGATCTAGGGTTTATAATTCTGTTACTAAAAGCCAATCAATTAGTATAATCATAGATTTGTGTTATTTAAATACTGTATAACACAATAGCACATTTACCTGTATAATTTCTTGTGGGCGGTATAGCTAGCATGAAGCAGGCTAAGTTAAGGAAACCAAACCATGCAACAGGCAAGAGTCTTGTGTTATTCCATGCATGTACTATAAGCACGTAACAAAATGGATAAGATTTATTACCAAGGTTTTATATTGCTCTTCATAGGACCAGGCTTTCACACTTATACCAATTATATTTTGCTTTATTACAACGAAGCTTTAATGTTTAATTGTCACTGTTGTCACAAGACTTTCATGTTAGAAGATTTAAATTTCTGACGACCGCAGATCTTACATATTATTCGTTATAGTTAGAAATTCTTCTGTGTGTTTATGGAATTATTAGAAACTGTTATATTAAGTGGGGTTTTGACATTTGGTGCTAACGCCAGGCCGCGGTCTCTTAAACACGTTTATTTCCGGCCAATTTTATACCTTTCCCACGTGTAAAATACAAAGAAGAAACCAGGGAGATAAACCAACATTTGTTTCTAAGTTTCTCATAAACGAATACAGTGCTGGTAACGATAGAAAGAAACATTTACCTCGTTTTGTTTTTGTTTATTACGCTGTATATCAAATATGAATTGCAGATATTCTGAGCACAGATGTTAAGTCTTCTACCATGTTCAACTCTGGGCAGAAACTTCGCACTCAAAATTTAAATGAATAGTTGAATTTTATTTGTTATAAAATTCTGATTATAATATAAATCCAGACACATTTTTAATAAAGACGTTACCGTCCAACTTTATAAATATTTGCTTACATAAGAAATGTTATTTGCAAACAGATAGTAATTGTTTACTTACAACACTCACTATGTGTCTGTAGACGTTCTCCTGTTATTAAATCTCATGTTTAATCGAGACATTGAATATACCTCAACACTTTTTAAAGTGAGGTAAATGCTTTTATTTTTTGTTACCAACACTGTCAACGAACAAACAGGCGGATATGTTTGGGTGGATGCTTTTCTTTGTAATTTATTGGAATCTTTTGTCTTGCCATTCAGAAAATTTTTGATCGTCACCTTAAACCCGTCATAGGTCCAACTTCCTAACTTCAAAACGCACGTCTGTACGTCGTATGGGAAAAATTCGACATCGATTGCGCACGAGGATTTATACACGGCTGGCGGTTGCCACACCACGAGGCCATTGTAGTACACGGTAGCCTTCGTTTTAATCGTCACTTCATAGCTGCCGTCGGCGCTGTAAGCAACAATACCATCAGCCACCATCACATCAGCATCATTCGTCTAACAGGAGGAGGGACCGAAGATTGCCGAAGATGCACGAAGTGCTGGCGCCTGGAGAAACAAGTGTGGGTCACGGGGAAGAAGCAAACACAATATTAGTTTAGTCAAAGAAAAGTTTGGTGAAACGGAGCAGCCAAGCCGGTAGAGTGACGGACAGACAAACTTGCTAAGCGTGAAGCCAATGCTGCACGAGACGATAATGCACTGTAGCAATAATAAGGCTTACAAACATATTCATAGTCGCAGGGCGCGGACCTGAGATGTTATCGGAAAATTTTAGGGAAACAATTTCAATATATTTTACACTTAATTTATTTATGGAATAATTATAGCCTAAACATTCATAAACCTATTTAATTAGTAATAGACTCAAATTTCATAACCTGGACTGAGTCCACTTGTTACGTCGGACACTAATTGGTATATTGTACCAGAACCGGATGATAGATCATGAACTTGGAGCAGTCGGTGGAATGAGAATTGATAGGGGATACCGAAGCACTTGGAAAGAAAACTGTCACAGTACAACTTTGTCTACCACAAATTCCACACGACCTGAACCGGGCTCGAACCTGTGCAGCCGCAATGGGAAACCAGCGACTAACCGCCTGAGCTGTGACACGGCCTTTTTTTTATATATATATTAGGCTACATATTTTTGTTATTCAAGAATTCCAGCATTAGGTCGAAATCAGTCACAGTAACGATCTTTCCGAACAATATGGAAGATTCATGTTTACTTGACAAAAGACAATCTGTTTTATTCACAGTAACATAAAGGAGATATCTCTTTGATGAAATTTTCGTAAAGTTGGCAAGATTATGCAGTGGGGTTATGTTCGACAGGGAGGGTGTCGAATGTAAGAAAGACCCGAAAATAACCCTCCGGAGAACACTTTTATTCTAGAACTGTTTAGTAATGGATCTGAGATGTTTGCAAAATATTGAAAACAATTTTTTTATTCCTTTGAGAGTTAAAATATTTGTTCTCATTAATACAATACAGCACAATTTATTTTCTTTCGAAGGAATCAGAGATGGGTGGAATACTTTCGGAGACTTCTAGCGACTTGGCAGGTCCGTACACCGAACTCTTCACAGATGAATGTGAAAGAAGAAAAGAAAACTAAGATGGAGCAAACAGAGAGAGGTGACGTCACACCGTGTCGCTCCCTTACCTTGAAGCCGTCATAGGTCCAACTACCGAATTTCAAAACGCAGGTTTGCTCGTCAAAGGGGAAATACTCTACGTCTATCTCACAAGACGACTTGTAAATGGCCGGCGGCTTCCATTCCACCAGTCCTTGGTGGTAGATGGTTGCCTTGGTCGCCAGGGTAACCTCGAAGTTGCCGTCAGCGCTGTGGGTGGAGAAAAACAACAACACACAGACTGAGGCCGAACACACGAGTTCCACTTGAACGTGACCTCTCTGGGTTCACTCAACATCAATCCAAGGGAAACCTGAGATCAACTTCGGTGTAACTAAAAGGGCAATTTAGTAAGCCACGAAGAATTTCAAAGAAGGTCAAGAGGAAAATTATGCGGACCGTCTGAACGGAAGTCAGAGATTAACTAAAAGACTACTAATTTAAAGGAAAGGAATAGCAAATTCTAAGATTACGTGGGGTTATTAGAGATAAATTCGAAAAATGAAATATAATATGCTGTAAACAAATGTTAAGGGAAAGTGCCGATAATATAAGGAGTTAAGAAAAGCAAATATATCCCTGTAATAGGCCAAGGAGGCCCATAGGCTTGTGAGACGTCGATGCTCACACATTTTCTACAAAATCAGCTCACAAATGGAGACGAATTTGTCAGCCTTACGCGCCGGGCGCCCTTTACCACCAGAAATATTCCTGGTACTCACTTCTGTTGGAGGCTGACTCTACCCCAGCGCCATAGCGCGGCTGGAAGGATTAGATTAATTGAAGAATCCAGCGACATCATCGGGAATCAACCTGTGACCTTCAGGCTTGTAGCATAGTGCCTCAATCAACTACGCTACTGCGTGCCCCATTAAAAAAAGGGACTTACTAAAATAATATCTTAAAATAGATTTGTGTCGAAGGTCCGTTGAAATTTCACTTAAGATTAATTTTTATTTCATGAAGTCTTAAGTTTCTATCAAAAGCAGAACGCCAAATTAAACTAATTAAATAAAAATTGAAACACAGATTTATGAGGGTTGTTAATATGAAAGCATGCAAAAAGTAGAGAATTCATGTTCTATGCTCAGGTTGATTTTGTAGCCCAATCTTAAAACTATAGACATCAGCAATAGTTGCATAATTAAATCTAATACATTTTAAAAGAATTCTCTACACATATTCCTATGCAGTATCACACAATCTCTTACACACGTCTCTCTATAAATACATACATACATACACGTGTATTATGAAAGCTGTGCGCTCACAAATTCCCTTGTTTCCGTCACTTACAGACTTTTCTTGACTATTTTTGGATTGTTCTCAGTGTTTGGTTCTTTGTTGTACTGGGGCCACTTCTGGCCTATTGTACCAGCCCCAGATGATAGGTGAGAGTGATTGTGGAGCAACTGGTGGAATGAAGATTGGCAGGGGAAACTGAAGTACTCGGAGAAAACCTGCCCCAGCGCCACTTTGTCCACCACAAATCCCACTTGACCAGACCCGGGATCGAACCCGGACCGCCCCCGTGGGAAGCCAGCGACTAACCGCTTGAGCTATGGCGCGGCCTATTAATCATCATTTTTTGGCACTATATAATCTTGGCTATTGACAAGATAATTAAATAAATCCTAAATAAATAAAACAGTAAATTATTTAGTCACCAGAGTTAAGGGGCTGCAATACTGGAGACAACAGACGCAGAATTCCTTAGTTCAAAGTAATTCTGATTTTATTTTCCCATCTGACAAATTTCCCAAACCAGAAATTTATGCAATATTTGAGTTTCTTATAGCAATTCTTATGAAGACTTATATCTCTTGGAATGTACCGTCGTGTAATGCTTTAAGTCAACAGACGTTTCGGAAAAAATATACCGCCTCCATCTTAAGGGTCGAAGAATAAATAAGCCGAACAAGGAACCGAAACGTCATTTTAATTTATAATGGAGTTAATGGCGGTATATCCCAGAAGACAGAACTCTTGAATTGGTAAGTTTTGAGGTTTTCACGGCAGTGACTATGAAGAATACCGACTTCTTGGATGTGGCGCCGTGTAGATAATGTGTAAACCGACGTTTCGGAGGGACGTATCGTCTTTATCTGTAGGGTAAAAAATTCGCGAGCTAGGAATCAGCTGAAGCCACCTGCTCACCCTGGCTCCTCGCTCGCGGATTGTTATACCCTGAAAATGGAGGCGATACATTCCTCCGAAATGTCGGTTTACACTATCTATACGGCGCCACATCGTAGAAGACGGCATTCTTCTTAAGAATTTTATCATTATTATCAGATAAATGAGAAAACCTCAAGCCAAAGTCAAAGTCAAAGTCACTTTGCGACTGATGGTCGGTCAATCTGTCTGTCTTGGTGTCGAGCCCCAGCTGGGGCTCATGGCCAGATGTTTCTTTTTATATGAAAGGTGCTGTCGTGTACATTTGGGGCGCCCTCTCTGACGAGAGGTCGGGTCTGTCATTTGTCAGTCATAGCCTGTATTAGTAAGTCCATTGTCAGTATTTACATATATGTAATTACAAATCTACTCTTTCTTCCTACTTCTATGTACAATACACACAAGGCCTCTGTCTGGCCAGGCTCAGTACAGTAGACTAGGCACTATTTCTAGTAGCTTCCGCTACAACGGCAGTCTAGTCACTTGAACGGTGAGAAACCCTGTCTTTCATGCAGTCACAAAATAATACATATCAGCATAATCGGTTTTTGAAATTTACGGTTCTCCCAGTCGTGACTATGTAAAGTATATCTTTTTGAGACTTGACGCTATGTAGCATATAGAATCATCCGGCCCCTTTCTGAGGAGAACTCATTTCATCATTGCGGTGAAACACTGCCAAGCAGCAAGCGTAGTAAATCTTTATGCCACTTGTCGGTTAGTTTTATTCCTCCGCCCTGAAGATGGAAGTAGAAATTCTCTCACAAATATTAGTTTAATTTTTATCAAACTGAAATGAGTAATGAAGAAAGTCGTCTTCTGGGAGNGACTTTCTTCATAGTCATCGCCGTGAAAACCTCAGAACTTACATGAAATGAGTAATGTTTCAAACGACGGCCCTTCACAATTCTGGTATTGAAGTCCCCGTGTTTTGCGGCAACTTCTCTGACAGCAGTGTGTAACGTGTTCTGGATTTTCAGGCGGTTAGCATATAATGGAACTGTCACTCAAAGGCATTATTTCAGCTTCATAGGTTATGTAGAGCCAAGAAGGATGGGAAGATGATTATGAAAGGTGAAAAAGGACTGCGTGAAGGATTTGAAAAAAGTGTTCGTGGTTTAACAGAAAACATATCTACAATTTTACCGCTATACTGATCAATTAGGAAGAAAAGAAAGGTGTTGTATTATTTCGTATCTCTGAGGCGTGATCCTAGTAAATTAATTGTACCGTTTTTTTGTACTGGAAGTTATCAATAGCCTAAATCGTTTTCAAGAATTATTCTTTTTGGATTATACTGGAAATAGTATGACTGTTACTTAACGTGAAAAATTACGATATATTTTTTGGAGCGGGGAGAAAATTTAAAGGAAAAATATTGTGATGTGCTGCCTGAAAGCCGGACTATAAGACGTCAGTCACTAGTCAACGGTTAGAAATTCATAGATAGTGAAGCCTAGGAAATCGTTGCCCCGGAAGTGAAAGCCTAAGAGTGGAGTTTCCACCGTTACAAACGAATTGTTTGAAGCAGCGATTTCTTAGCAGCGGGCGAAAATAACCCTTCGACAAGGTATTCCATATTCAGACCAGCAGAGTTCTTATTCGACTAGAACTGAAGAGTTTTTATTCGACTTTAGCAGGACTCAGTTCGTATCCGACAAGGGACCAAAGAGAGTTGAGCTCCGAGCAGAAGACGCTTCACGGAGACCAGCGGTGGAAGTAATTGTAATAAGGAAGAGGAAACGTCTGACGACGGTATAAGTGGAATAATTGTACTTGTGAGTGTAAAAGTGACTGTCCAATAAATATTCTTTGAAATCCAAGAACCTGCACAAATTTCTTGTCGCGTTGCCTAGCAAACACGTGATTATACTACCAGGAGCAGTAACTCAGTAGCACAACTTTAAGAGCACGGGACTCAAATCTCTGGTGATCCTTGTTGTTTTGAATTAGAATAATCAATTTATACCAAATTTAGTTTTTATTAACTTTGAACTCGATGGTCTTCCCATATATTTTTTACCTATTTGTAACGTAGACCCATGCAATGTAGCTTTATGTATTATTATAATAGATAAATCCGATTTTAAAGTAACTAAAAAGCATTCTGAATTAATAAAACATTTTCTTAATATGAAACTTTTATTGCAGTTATGGACATTATTAATGTCAATTATTTTTAATATTGCTAACAATCGAATTAAAATCTACTTCCTTTTCTTATTCTTCTAGCATTCACGAATTAAAATTAAGTATATGTTGTAATTTACGGGCATGTGTAATATCTCCGTACAGTATGTGGTGGTACAATACAAATCTACCATTACAAAATACAGTCAATTCCTACAAGTATACACAAATATTACCTACATTCGTGCTTCTGACAGCATGATGAGCCATTGTGGTGAAACAAGACAAGAGAAGCAAGTGTCACTTGTGGCAATTTTGAAAAAAGAATGGCCAGAAATTTATTTGGCGAAATTACCGTCGGAAAAGCGTCACACAGATCGTGGTCCTGGGTTGTGCTCTGAGCATTTCTCACGCTATCATTCCTAAGCTATTTGTAGGTAAAGCTGTCCCTGTATCAGACCGTGGAAGCCCGTAGGCTTGTGAGACTTCGAGGTTCCTATATTGGCCTATAAGGAAAACGGTCTTCTGGGATGTGGCACCGTGTAGATGTGGTGTTAACCGACGTTTCGGACATGGTCGGGACATGACGCCAGATACACAAGGCCATACAGTCCATAATCGACTTGCATAGCAACCTCCCCAGCTAACCTTGCCTTCTCCCCCGACAAAATATCCTATACCTGCTCTAACCTTGCTCCTGTCCCAGACCCTTCCCCTCTCCCTCTCCACTGATTTCCCATGTAGACCTGTCCCTTCCTTTTCTGCTCTCATATATATATTTTTTTTTCATTGGCACTACAGCCCTAGTGGGCCTAGGCCTACCTCCATGAACTTCTTCGTTTCACTTCGATTTTTCTAGATCATACACAGTCGGTAGGACTCCTTGGGCGGGTGATCAGGTCGTC